ATTTTTGAATCCAGATTGTAAGTACACCCCCCCCCCCGGTAGGTTTGTGAAATTCAAACAATTGCTAGGCGACCAGTCGTAATTTGAGGACTACCTATGTGGGAATGAAGATAATCTTTTCATATCAGGTTCCATCCATTAAATAAATCAATCACATCAGGTAATTAATTCTCCTGAGAATGAAAAACACTTATTTGTTGTGCCCACCCAGGCTTTGTACGATTTAACTTCTTCAATTAAAGAGATCACAATCATTCACACAATCAAGGTGCTTGTGAAACTTGCCTTCCTGCTCTACATCAGAAAAATGTAGACAAGTTTAAAAGAAACAGAGATTGAGGTTCTTACACTTTCTCTGCTTCAATGAATCAGACTCCAAGAGTCTCAAGTGCAAAAAAAAGAAAAGAAAAGAAGTGCTCACCAAGCATCTAAGGAACACAACATTTGTGGCCGACAAATGCTTTACCAACAGATCTGTGTTGTTTTATCACAAAGATGAACTTTACTGTGGTGATTTTCTTTCCTATGAGAAAGTACTGCAGGCTCCAAAATACAAATAGTCCATTAAAATCATGAACAGGGAGCAACCCGCAGCCATATCTAAACATTTTGAAATTTCATGCACATTGAAGCCAATGAACTGCTTTCAGTTTATTTTCATGGAACTGTCATTAAACCTTCACTATTTAGCTTGGGTTTTTTTTTGCTATTAGTACAACTGCGCTTTTGTTTTCTAAGGTCAAAAATTATTCAAGTTTCCTTCCTTCCTTCCTTCCTTCCTTCCTTCCTTCCTTCCTTCCTTCCTTCCTTCCTTCCCTCACCAAATGACTCAAAATGAAATGTAAATAAACTACCATGATGTTATGACTGTAACTGAACTGTATCTTAAGTGGGATAGGTTTTTTTTAATAGACATTGTTAAAAATGTGTAAAAAGTTTGAAGTCGGCAAAATGAGGACCCATATTGTTGGGGCCAATGTGCTGACTCTGTAAACCACTTTAGAGAGGGCTGTAAAGCACTGTGAAGCGATATATAAAGTCTAAGTGCTGTTGTTACTTGCCCTTCTGAATTATTTAATTCCTACAGGATGTTAACTGTCTTAATGTTGGTTTAGTTTCACAGGCAAGGGGAGAACAAGGCCCACAAGGCCCGGCAGGCCCCCCTGGCCCCAGAGGCTTCCCAGGACCTCCAGGAGAACCAGGAAAATCAAGCTATGGCAGCCAAGGGCCTCCAGGACCTCCAGGACCCCCAGGATTTTCAGCGGCGGGAAAGCCAGGAACCGCAGGCTTGCCAGGAAGACCGGGAGACAAAGGATTCCCTGGTGAAAAAGGAAGCATGGGGCCTGCTGGTCTTCCAGGGCCAAAAGGTCCCCCTGGAGCTCCTGGTCCTGCAGGAATTTCTATGGTGGGGAAGCAAGGACTCACAGGACCCCAAGGACTAAGAGGCATCCCTGGGGAAAAAGGTGTTCCAGGCCTTCCTGGTATTAAAGGGCAAAGGGGAGAAAACGGGCACGGGGTTCCAGGTCGCCCAGGGGAGAAAGGCCTGCCAGGCCCACAGGGGCCTCCAGGACAAGCAGGGATAGGAAGGCCTGGGGAAAGGGGGTTTCCAGGGCAACCAGGTGTTAAAGGGGACAAGGGTTTACCCGGCTTACCAGGCCCAGTTGGACTTCCAGGTCCCCAAGGCTCTCCCGGGAAACCTGGAATGCCTGGAAAAGGACTCCCTGGCTCAAGTGGGTCACCTGGCCTCCCAGGAACCCCTGGGGCAAAAGGACCTCCAGGTCCACCGGGCTCAACTGGGCCCTCTGGTCTCCCAGGGTTTGGAAAACCAGGATTGCCAGGGATGAAGGGAAACAGAGGGCCTGAAGGACTCCCTGGCGGTCCAGGAGCTAAGGGAGAACAAGGCCCAGCTGGTATTCCTGGAAGGCCTGGACCAATCGGGCCACCTGGGGAAACAGGTCCTCGAGGGCTAAGAGGGGCCACTGGTGGCAGTGGCAGACCTGGGCTCAAAGGGGAAAGAGGCGCAACTGGTCCATCAGGATTCCCAGGGATAAAGGGAGAAAGAGGCTTGCCAGGATTGGAAGGCAAATCAGGGAAGCCAGGGTTTCCTGGATCCAAAGGCCATCCAGGTGTGGCAGGATCTAAAGGAGATCTAGGCCCCACTGGGCCAAATGGTTTACCTGGACCAATGGGCTCACCAGGACCCAAAGGTGCAGCAGGAATCAGTGGTGGGCCAGGCTCTAGGGGATCACCTGGTATACCTGGTTTAAAGGGACCAGTTGGTCCTCCAGGTATTCCAGGACTCCCTGGTGGCAAAGGGGACCCAGGTGCACCGGGATTACCAGGTCCAGCTGGCATTTCATCGAAAGGCACAGATGGACCGATGGGACCACCTGGACCACCAGGTCCCAAAGGGTATCCTGGAGAGCCTGGACTGCCAGGCCCTCCAGGCCCACCTGGTCTTCCAGGGCAAGCCCTGGCAGGGATGCCAGTTATAAAATCTGGTGTAACTCAAGGTCTCACTGGCAGGCCGGTGTCCGCTTTCACTGCCATTCTCTCCAAAGCTTATCCTGCCTCTGCTACTCCTATCCAATTTGACATAATTTTGTACAACAAGCAACAACACTATGACCCCAGATCAGGCATCTTCACCTGCAGGATACCGGGGCTGTACTACTTTGCTTATCATGTCCATGTCAAAGGCACACACGTTTGGGTTGGCCTGTACAAGAACGGCTCACCCATCATGTACACATTTGATGAGTACAAGAAAGGATACCTTGATCAGGCTTCTGGAAGTGCTGTTGTTGATCTCATGGAAAATGATCAAGTCTGGTTACAGCTGCCCAACAATGACACAAATGGCCTTTACTCTTCAGAGTATGTCCATTCCTCCTTCTCAGGTTTCTTATTTGCACAAGTGTAATACTCAGCATAAGAGAAAAACGCATCCAGGTATATGTGTATGTACTTCTACATATACAATGGAATTAACAAAATTACACCCGCATACAACATTACATTTCTAAAGTTCATAATGCATAGGATTTTTTTTAAAAAAAAATATTCACAAGGTACAATCGTACTGTATGGAAACACTGAGACATGCATTTTACTGGCCCACATACTGAAAAGCTAATTAAGATTATTTCTACCATGATTATTCCCCCCAAAAGGGCATCACTATCAAAAACTCTTTTCATAGATGTGTAGGTGGTAATGCCACCAAAACAAACAAATGTGCATAGTTTTAAAAATCAGAATCAGAAAAGGCAAGAAATGCAATATGTTGTGTTAATTCTATAACTCTCAACATTTTCAATGAAATATTTGCATCACAAAATGAATCCATTTGGTTCCCTGGTACCCCAGGTGAGCATCTAAAGTGGTAATCATATCCAAATGTGCAGGTACTAGTAATGGCTGATCATGAGTACTGTAGGTATATTTAATGCTAAATTGACAGTATTATAATCCTCATAAAATATTTCAATATTACCCTTTACAGAATGTCTGTTTACGTACAACATTCAGAGAATGATACAACTACAGCTAAGATAATGTTTAAAATGTTAAACCTTATGGAGCGTGAATAGTTATTAATAACTAAATGTACCACTGTGCGGTCTACATTTCATCCCACAGCAACATCTTGATTCCAAACCATTTGTATGAAATCAATATAAATGGCTTGTACTGTGTTCTAAAGCCAGCATTTTACAGTTTGTTCTAAAAACTTCTAGTTGTATCTGTCCATTTTGATTTAAAAAAAAATTATAAATAAAAAATGAAACATTTCTTTCAATTTCTCTGATCATTTAGTGAATTTAGTGAAAAGACAGTGATAGAAATAATTGTTATCTATGTAATTTTTATCAAAATAGAATTTAATTTCTTTCAAAAGGTATCGATACAAATAATTCTGTCAATTGTTTTTACTGCATTGTGGTGTTTACCCTGGGAATTTCTGAATACAGGTTTTAACAGGTTGAATATATACATTTGGATACAGAAGAGTTCAATCTTGTGCTGGATTCCTATTATGTCAAGGAAAGGCAGGAGATGAATATTTACAAAAGCAGGGAAAAAGTGAAAATGTGTAACAATTCGATGCTGCAAATTTTTCATGTGGCTCATCCCATAATGCCCGCAAAAACGTTTCTTTTTCTCTACCTAACACATAAACCAAATTTCTAGTATTAGCCTTGCAAAGTAGTCCAGATAAGAACCATGAGTACTAACTAGCTCCATTTTTATTGTAATATTACATTAACAGAAACTTGCAATCTGAAAATATCCTTCCTTTCATTCATGTTTACATTTTCTCCAAGACTAGGGAAGGTCCCTTCTGAGATGCTTTCATCACCTTTTCTTTTTCAGGCTCAAGGGTTCTCTTATCAGACCATTGTCTAGCTAGGCCAAGGCTCTTCAAACTTGGCAAGTATAAGACTTGTGGACTTCAACTCCCAGAATTCCTGAGTTAACATGACTGGAGGAGGAATTCTGGGAGTTGAAGTCCACAAGTCTTAAAGCTGTCAAGTTTGAAGACCCCTGGTCTAGGCTGTAGCTCTGCCTCCTGACTCCCATTCCCACAAAACAATACACCCAGTTCTTTGTAGATGTAGGAAGGTTTGAGTAGTTTCATATTCTAGGCACCCACAGAACTCGTCTTGTTTATGTCTGACTTCCCCTCTAAGGGACCCCTCCCACAGGATAAGCCAGAAATTGCTCCTCTATTAGCTACAAGTGGCTTGCCCTGTCAGTGTTGGTGGGGGCAGGGTCTTTGAGGTTCTTTAGTTGGGCTTACTGTTAGCTTACTTGGCAGTTCCTTGACTGGGGTATTGTTTGCTGCTTGATTGCTATAATTCCAATGCAGTCCACATCAATGTATTTTTAATTGTGAAAATGCACGCCCATTATGAAGGGCCAGTTCCATTTTGACAGGTACATGAACAGCACCTTCAACAAAGAAACAGCCCTTGAAAGACAGGGAAACCACTCACCTTTAAAAGCTGACGTTTTATAATTATGCTGTATGGCACCAACCATATCCTTCCAGAAGTCATATTTTCTCCTAGGGCTGTGCTGCAAGCATAAAGAAACCCCATTGCCTTTTTCATCGTAAGCAGTTTTTCCAGCAAGTAGTGAGAAAATAAGGCAAGACAACCACAAGCACAGTCTGAAATACAATGCAGCCACGTAGGGTTCCCTCATTCAGGATTCCAGCCAATTCCTTTTTTATTTATTCCATCGCCCTGTTTCTGTTCTTCCCCCAACTAACTGAACATGCATGGTTATCAATGACATGTTTGGGAATGCCTCCCTTTGAACACACATTTAAAAAATGACTTTGCTAATTATTATGTAGGACTGGATTCACCCATGTGATGCAATGATGTGATTATGCTCTTTCATTATTGCATTATTGACTTGATTTTTTTTTTACTCTTCTCTTCCTCTTGAACTACCAATTCCCTGCATGAAATAGTCATTTTAATATTTAAAAACACAAAAGCAAAAACACTATTCCCATCACAGGAAGGGAATCTTATGTAAAACTGATTCCTCACAGGCAACACTACAGTACATAAATGATGGCTGCTGATTATTACAACGAATCATATCTGTTTACAGATGGTTTTTTTTGGGAAACTCTCTTCTTAATGATGCCTAACATGAACATAAAAGCCTTGCTTTTCATGGGGGTCTCTGGATGAAGCAACATGGGCCCACTGGCCCCAAAAAGAATATGGAAGCCAATATAAACAAGGAATAGGTTTAATAAATTTTGAGACTTGATCAAAAAAATAAAATCATTTCATTTCTTGCTTGCTTCCCCTTATCGGACCTACATTTTTATCCGTCTTTTCAGGTTTTATACAAAAGGAGGAGGAGGAGGAGGAGGGGTGGGGGGAGGAGGAAGAATACATTTGAAGCAATAATGACAAGTTAGTAGAACATATACAGTAATAAACACACTAAAAAAAGAATTTGCCTGCTTAGTCCAAAAAGCTTCGTAACAGGAGATTCATTAGGGCTGAACCTAGAAATGACGACCGAGTTTCAGGGATAAGCCAATAAACAGAATCAGTGCCCTATTTATAGGTAGGGCTGTCTGAAACGGAAACAGAGACAAGCATGGACACTATTTACCTCCCTAAGAAAAGAAATGAATTCTTTCAGAATTCTGTAGATATGTGATTCAGTTCTAGCTAATTGCTGTGACTCACTGCCGTAAAGCAAGGGTAAAGAATTTGATCCCTGAAAAAATGTTCAAGCTTCATGTAACTTGTGAGGAGTAGGAGGAGCAGAAGCAGGAGGAACATTAATTGAAATGTATCTCCCATGAGCTCCAAACCTGATTAGTACTTACTTTGTCTAAACCATCCACAATCCGTCCACAAAGAAGTGATCCAGGCAGATCAAAGTAATTGTCATAGGCATAATATTTAGCTGCAAAGACAAGAAATTGAATTCCGTATTAGATACCTAGTGGACAAATCAACATTTTTGTGAGAATGAATTACTATTTACTATAACAATACTGATATCTGCAAAATTTCCCTTTGTATCACAAGTAGGATATTGCTCGATACATCAAAATGTTGGAGAATCATACAATTAGAATTGCCTTCCAATATCACGGTAGGAAATCAAAATTTATATATGACTTCTGGGATGTGTTATCTATTTCTAGGAGGTTAAGTGAGGGAAAAGTCTGGAAACACTGTTTTTTAGTGATGGAACTAGACTTCTGGAATAAACTCCTATTAAAGATTTGTCAGTCTCCCACAATGTCTGCTTCCAAAACAGCTGGAGCTTTTCTGAAGGCTGTTCCCCTCTTTTTTTTTAGAAAGAAAAAAAACCCTTACAACTTTTATCCATCTCAGGCTCTCCCACTCATCAGATCATTTCAGACTATGTACAGAGCAAACTTCAGCCTGACTTCTTCATCAGCTTTGAGAATAAGCTTTCAGACTCTTACTTATATATTGTGAAGTTTCAATAAATCTTCATAAAAAGAAAACTTCTTAGTTTTAATGTTGTGACACATTAATTATAGGAAAAACCTATAATTATATTATAGGGGTCCTTGGTGCTCTCTGACTTTGTTCTTTTCTCAAAGACCTTTCATTACCAAACTAAGTAACATCATCAGTGCTAGTAAAGAGTGGGGTTTGCTCTTATTTTGCATACTAGTGGTTTGCCCTGTCAATGTTGGTCATAGTGGTCTTGGTGGTTCCTTGACTAGGCTGTTGTTTACTGTTAGCTTGTTTGACAGCTCCTTGATTGGGGTTTTGTTTGATTCTAGATTGTTGGTCTAATGTATAATTCCAACTAGAGAAAATATACAAAACCATCAACATCTTCAAAGGAATAAAACTAGGGAAAAAGAAAACAACATGGTAACCTTCCTGGCACTGGCAGCAAATTAGAAACACAAGTCCATTGTAAAACAACCCATACCAACCAGGTGCTCCACTACCAAAGTAACAACCCAACCTCCCACAAAATAAGCTGTGCAAGAACACTATTTATATGAACACAAACATATTTCAGCAACCTTGAACATCAGAAAAGGAAACAGGTCACCTATACAACATCTTCCAACCAAAAAGATATCCATGCAACTTCATCAAAAAGTGCCTGACCAATACAGCACTATCAACACAAGTTGTGAAAAAAATAATGTTGCCCTACACCAAAAATCTCAGAAACCACCAACAGACTATTACAACTACATTGTCTGACCGTACACAATGAATAAACTAAAGCCTCCAAAACATCCTAAGTAAACCAAAATACCCCCATCCCCAGAAGAAAAAACAGACTAATCTACAACTTACAAAAGCCACTATGTAGGGCAAATAGATAAGAAAACTGGCAGAGCACATCTATGAACATTAACTAGTATCAGAAGCCATGATGAAAACTCCTTAATTCCACAACACATGGATAGACTTAACTATAGTTTTAAGTGGGACACTGTGAGCATCCTAGATCAGGGGTCTGCAACTTTCAACACTCAAAGAGCCATTTGGACCAGTTTCCCACAGAAAAGAAAACACAGGGAACAAATAATTTAACAACTGGTGTGACTGCGTGGATGTGGCCAACTCGACGTCACTCACTCCCATCCAGTCACATGACACCTCCCTAGCCATGCCTACCCAGCTGCTCTCTCTCTCTCTCTCATTTTCTTTCTCTCTCTTTCTCTTTTTCTTTGTATCTCTCTCTCTCTGTGTCATTGTCTCTCTTTCTCTTTTTTTCTTTCTTTCTTTCTCCCTCCCTCTCTTTTCTTTCTCTCTCTCTCTCTCTACCTCCCTCCCTCTCCCCCACTCCCCAACCCCACACCCAGAAAATAACTAAGGAAATTCGGCCATGTTGTCTCTGTCTCTGTAAAGATACAAAAATAAACCTTGCGTTGCAAAAAGAATGACTGTCAGGCTGTTACATCACAGCGCCACGAGGTTGCTGCCTTAGATCGCTGAGCGCACTTCAGAGAAGCATCATCTCAAGCAGCAGCACACTCACACAGACACGCATATGCATCCTACAACTTGGTCCAAAGTGGCCAGAAAATATAGTCCCTCGGCTATAAAGATGCTTGGCAGGTAAAGTACAGGACAACCCCCATCACCAAGGCAGCGTCCGCTGATTCCTTGCAAAACTGGGCAAAGGTGAAGAGAGGGGAGTAGACAGAGCCGAATCAAGCTGAATCTGTCTCTTTTTCTCTGTCTCTCTCTCTCTCGCTGCCCGACTGCAGCAGGAAACAGCAGATGGCTACTTCCGGCCTTGGTTGATGCTGGACGTGCGACCTACTCTCCGCCCTGAGACAATGGCATGCCCCGTGGCCAATGCTGCTGCTTTGCCAGGGGCGAGTGGGCCAGAGTCGCATTGTGGCTCTGCGTCATAATGGGCTCCAGGAGGAGAAGGGGACCCTCTCTCCCCCATTGTGAAGTGTACTAACTTTCACGATGCTGCGCAAGGCACAGCGAGAGAAGCAGGAAGGCCATGGAAAGCAACAGCAGCAACGTCAGAAGTCGCAGCAGAGGGCTGAAAGAGCCACATGTGGCTCCAGAGCCACTGGGTTGCCAACACCTGTCCTAGACCAAGCCAAGCCAACAAACATTAGAGAATTCCTGGAAACCTGGAAATGAGACAAATCAGCCATCAACAGGCACATAAACAAAATCTACGTGAGGCAATTTAAAACGAGGCAATCAAAAACCAAAAAGGAAGAAAGAAGACCAAAACACCACCTCACCTGCCATGAAGACTCAGATGAACAAAGTTATATCAAGATTAACATTAGACCAATAATCAAGAAGCAAACAATATTCTGATCAAGGAACTGCCAAACAAGCTAACAATAGCCCAGTTAAGAACCACCAAGACCACTCCTATCAACACTGACAGGGCAACTCACTAGAATATAAAATGAGAGGAAACTTTACTCTTCATCAGCACTATGATGTTACCTAGTTTGGTAATGAAATGTCTACAAGGAAACTATTAAGTTAGTAGAGCACCAGGGATGCCACAAATACAACACTATAGCATCAACCTCTTTTATAGGCCATGTCCATGTAATACCTGAACGAGAAACCATTCCACTCATTGTCTTAAAGTGTTTCCACTCCCTCCTTTCATACTTCTCCAAGATCTCTCCAGAGGTCATATGTTTTGTGCCATGACTTGCCCTGTTTGAGGGAAGAATCAGATATGTTATTATCTTTTATGTTCTTTGATTTCTTTCTTTCAACATTATAACGTAAATGTTAAAAAAGGATCGTTTACAGATTAAAATTGACCGCCTATAAAATAAATGAAACTTATTTGTAAAAGTATGTCTCTTATTTACATATACCAATTATTGTCTCCTTCTCACACAAAATTTTCGTCATAGAAACACATGCACCCTTCTTCCTTCCAGTAGTATTAGCAGAGAAGAGGAAAGCAAGATATGGATTAATAAAAGGTAGTTGGGCTGGATAAGAAAGGGAAAAGAAGCATGGGCTGGAGATAAACTGACGGGAAGGTGGAATTGAATAGGCAAGGAAAGAAAAGTAAGAGGATTTATTTAAGAATTTTGAAAGATTTAACTATATTAGGCAAAACAACCTTCTCAAGGAATGGCTGCTCTTTAAAAAACATCAATGATCTTTAATAGTGATGTTTGCCATCATTCACAATTCATATCACCAGTATGGGATCCTACCTGTTCCACTACAGGTTCGGTGATTGTGCGTACACCTAACGCACACACACCTAACACATGCGCACAGCTTTCCACGCACCAGCTGAGGCCTGCATTGCCAATCAGCTGAGAGGATAAAGAAGAGAAAAGCGCAGGGGCAAGTGGGAGGACCAATCCTGTACTTTTCTCTTCTTTCTCAGCTGATGTTTTCATCTTCTCAGCTGATCATCAGAGGCTTTTTTTTACTACCAGTTCACCTGAACCAGTCTGAACCGATAGTATACCACCACTGCATATCACTCTTTGCTTTCAATGATACTTGCTGTTATTTTGATAATTGCTTTGTCTACTTAGTGACAGCACTCCTGGTCCCAACTGCTGTTGTAACCCAAGGACTGCTTCTATTAGAAGTAAGTCGTTATTATTATGATCAGTTAAGTGGGAGTCAGCCTCCCCAACCTGGTGATCTCTAGATTGCTCAGAATTACAAAAACAATACTAGAATCAGGACATGATTGATATGAAATAGAAATTCAAGTCCTGTGGCCTCAATATACAGCAGAGGAATGATGTGATTGTACTTTGAAAACAGAATATTGTGAGAAAGTTAATAAGCTGTATAACATAAACTTTTACCAAGGATTTAAATGTTACCTCAGAATGGTTCCATTATCTGCAAGTTTAAGAAAGTTCCCTTCTTCCAGGTCCAGCACCAAGCCCTTGCAGCTGTGTGAGTTCAGGTTCATCAGTGGAAGAGGAAAAAGAGGCACATTATGAGCAAGCTTCAAAATACACAGAGATGCTGTAAACTATGGTACAGACTGTGGTCTTAAATGCCACAGGGGCCATAGAGATAATCAGGGCACTTTAGTGTTAGATGAGCTTAGCATAACTTGTACAATGTGAGAAAAGTGCAGGTTTCTAATCAATACAATCAAGAAACTGGATATTTTGGAAAATACATGGACAGGTCAAAGAAAACCTATGGCCTTTGACTTGTTGACAAAACCTTTTGCAAGCCATCAAATTAGACCTCTGCCAAACTGATGTATCCCTTCCAATCTCCAGTCTGCTGTGTACCACTACCGTCATCATCATCATCAATTCACCTAAATTGTGTATATAATGCTCCTACCTCCAATTTTCTCCATAAAAAATGGATTGGGCTGAGAGAGAGTAGATGACTTAAAGTCACCAGCTGGCTTTCATGGTAAGAGAGAACTAAAAGCATACAAGTCTCCTGGTTGCTTGTCCAACACTTTAACCGCTAAATCCAACTAGGTGGAGAGTAAGATTAAAAATAAATGTCAGAAAGAGAAAGAAAACAAGAAAAGGATGGTTGACTGGAATACCCTCCTGTTCACTCTATTCCTACAACAACACAATGGAAAGGAAGGGTGCTCTCATTCAGCCTTGTTTAAAGGCTGCAGAGAAAGGCTTATTTATTTATTGCAAGGCAGGCAGAGAATGAAGGTGAAGAAAATCCCAGCTACTCAAAGGATGGGATGAGAATCCATGCTCATTAGAAATCCATTGTACATGCTGAATTTTTAGTATAGCAAAATCAGAGAAACACCCAGGAAGTAAAGGTAAATTTTGGCTGGAGAAAATAGGGAAGCAGGATATACCCAACAATATCTCCCTACAGCTGCAATCCTATTTGTTCTTACTTGGAATAAATTATATCAAACTTAATTGGGTATACTTGCTTCTGAGAGACTGCTCAGTTTAATACCTTTTAAATACAGGCGATCCTCTCCTCTTCCAGAAGCAACTACAAAGAAAACTGAAGGTAATTAAGAAAAATCACTGACCAGAAATCCCAGTTTTCAGGCATCACATCCAGAAGTTCCTTATCGTATCCTTTTTGTTTCACCATGTACTGAGCGAAGCTGTCATATATAAGCTACAAATTAAGAAAAGAAGTTTAATGCTGTGCAAAATTATATTGAGACACTATTCAGGATCACATTCAGGACCTTATGAGCAACAGAAATAATGTTCTGTATGTAAAAACATCAGCAATGTAGATGAGCTTTTAATGATCTGATTCTTAGCAACATATTCAGAAATGTCAGGATTCTACCCTCAGGGTGTTCTAATCCTAATGGCAGCTGAAATCAGTTCACAGTTTAAAATGGAGTATTATATATACATAGCAAACTGGTTAAAATACATGAGCCAGGGCTCATTAAATAACCATGAATGTAAAGTCCATGTACGGTTATTTGTTTCATTACTTTTGACAAACCCAGGAATGTGTACTGTATGTGAAATCAAGCCCAACCTAGGACTTATTCTTGTGTAAGACTGCATAAAATCCGATGGCTGATTTAAGAATTATGCCATCATCTAAAAGAACTGTAGAAGTTAGATTACAGAAGTTCTATCTCTGAAAAGGGAACTCTCGGCATTATCTTTACCAGAGTTTCTCTTTTAGGAAGTCATGAAATCTGAATAGCTAGAAAAATATATTAGTACTGGCATAAGGGCAGATTTTATTCTCTTTATTTATTAGATTTTGGTTGTGATGAGTTTCTTGATATAGGCGCACTTGAATTGCATATGGGTGATGGCACTCTAATTTTCATTAGATCTCTGGAACTGCTGCCGCTCCTGCAATCTGCAGAAAAAGCTACCCATCCTTAGCCTTATCTAAGAACAGAAGAGGGGTTGAACTTCTATTGCAGAGAGACACTTGAGCACTACATGAAGAAAGATATAGTTCAGCTTGTCTGGACATTTATGTACCAACTTAACAAAAAGAGGAAGGAAGAGACTGGCAAAAAGACAAGTTTTCCATTTTACCGAATTAAACTTCTTTTCCAAAATTTTATATATAAAACATTGCCACACTTGCAGTGTGTCTGTAATTCATTGCATTAAATATCTTGCATTAAAAATAAAAACCTATTACCCTAACATAAATAAAAAGTAAAAAAAAAAAAAATATATACAATTTCCAATCAAGGTACAGTAGTAACACTCAGAAACCAGTTTGGAGACATTGGTAGAAGGCCAATGTTGTCTTGGGAGTAAACGTCATAAACTATAATGCAATTTCCGAGAGAACATCAATTTTGAAAGACTATTATCAAAAGCCTACGCGTATCTACTCCCAACAACAAAAATCCCACCGGGTTTGGTAGGAGTTACTATTTGGTGAAAGTACATAGAAGCTTGCAATATAAATAGCACAATCTTAGGCATTCCGAAGTTAAGCTCGTTGCTTTTTCATACGGTGCAGTTTAATTCCGGGCATAATATGCGTTTTGGACAGAACGCAGCCGGAGTGGAGGTGTCCCACCCCCAAATTATTGGCTCTCCTGGAAAGGCCGCTTTCAAGCCGGGCAAAAACTCTTTCGTCCTTTTCCGCTTCCTGAAATAACGCTAGTCTGCCCCCCTCCTCCGCTGCGGGCTTTACCACAGCCGCTCAAAAAGATGTCAGAGCGCCGCTCGCAGCGGGCAGGGCTACTCGCAGTACAAACCTTGGGCTGGGCCACGCTCGCTAGAACCCTAGATCTCCTCCTCCTCCTCCTCCTAACCTGGAGTAGCCACAGAGCCAGTCCGAGGCTTCCTCTGCGAACCCCTGCAACCAAGCGATCATCGTACGGGCTTTCCCCAAGGTTATTTCTCAATGGCCTTGCGCGGGGTTGGGGGGGTTGCTGGACTGTGGCAGCCATTCGAAAAAACCTAGCCGGAGCTAAATCCGGGCGGCCTGCCTTCCAACTGCGCCACTCACCCGGGCGCTCTCCACCAGGTTGTAGCGACACAGCGTGTGATCCAGATCGAAGCCGATCACTTCGCAATCGGCCAGCGAGAAGAACTGGGCCATGGCGGCAGCGGCAGTGGCGGCGGGAACTAGCAAGCGCGCGGTTTCCTTCCCGCGTTCCGCGAGGAAACTGCAGCTCCGGCTCTGCGTGAATAACTGGTGATGCGACGGCAGCGGCCGTTTCCTGCAGAGGCTGATCTCTCGTCTTGCTTCGCCTCACCTTTCCTTTCCTCCAAGGCCTGGAAGCTAGAGAACCGGCGATGGCATTCAGAGCTAGAGTTGAGCTGATCGTATTACTTCCAACTAGCACGAACTCCGCGAGTTCTGGAAGAGAAAGTAGCTGAAACGCTGGTCAGGGTTTCATTTGCAAGCAGAACCGGATTTAAATGTTCATTGCTGGAGTAAACGGTGCATTGGGCGGGATGCATAGCCCTCTATTCATGACAGACCTTTCAGATAAGCTATACCTCATATTTTTCCACTTCAGAGTAGTTGAAAATTGGAACAAGACCCTTGAAGCTTAGCTTGTTTCTATCTGCCAAATTTACCCAAGTAGACCACTGGTGTCTTCTTGTTCGTATTCACAACCAAAATTCAGAAGTATACTATCATCCAACAGTAATAAAAATGAAGATGTACACTTAGAATGAACTTTTTATTTTGCTAGTTGACTTGCGTGTTGCGAGTAGAAGATTTAAAATTTAATTTTTTATTGACACTTTTATGAATAACTCAAACTCACTTTTAATGAGTAACTCAAAACATTTACTCATATGAGTAAATGACTTACAATATATAAAATGCATTCTGCAACAGAACAGTTAACAGTCAACTATTAAACACCATTACCCCAAGTAAGATCTTATTGTCTAAATGCCCTCTGGAAAAGGATTGTCTGCCATATTTGTGAAGGGCAGAAGGATGGGACCACACAGACTTCAAGAAAACTATGCTTCAAGTTCAGAGAGGGGTCTGCCATTAAGAATATTGTTTTCTGGGTCCAGTCACACAGTCTAATCTTTTGGGCACCCAGAACACTTTCTGCTAAATTATATAATGTAAATTTTACCTGCAGAAGATAACTTGAAGGTAACGTTGGCCACCAGGACCTTGAATGGGGCCAGAATCTATCGGTAAGCAGTGCAGCTGCTATAGAACAGATCTTGAGTTAACCAACTAATATTGGCAGTCAGATAGGCAGCTGCATTTTGTGCCAAGTTGTCTTCAATGTCAACTGTGTGTACAATGGAATTGACAGAAACATCCAACAAGTTGTGCTTCTTGCATTTGGAGACTGAAATGCTAAAACTGGAAATAGGAAACAGAAAAATGCACTTGGACTGTGTGGTCTATGAGATATAACCGCTTACTAGTTCCTGGTCAATTCAGTTATTAGTGCTTCATTGCCATCATAATTTTCAAACAACCAAAACAATGGCTATATACATGGCTATCACCAGGCAGAGCCCACAGAAATCTTAACTGATTTTAATGCCTGTAAAGACATTAAAGATAGAAGCAGGACCAGAAAAATATTCCAAATGATTTCCAGTCTAAGAAATAGGTTCCAACCTTAAATTGGTGTTCTAAAGGAACATCAGTGGACAGTAGTGACTGATTCAAAGCAGTTGAAAGAAAAATGATGAGAGTACTAAAATTCTGTCCAGTAGAGATGTCAATATCTTAACTTCCTAGAAAATCTAAGATACTTCAGAAGATATTTAGAAGAACCTTTATTCTTGTAAATAGGGAATATCTTCTAAAGTATCTTAGATTTTCTAAGGAATTAATGTGTTAAGAAGATGATGATAGATCAGCATTCTGATCATTATGAATTAAATGGCTACAGGAATTGATGGAATATCCATAGAAATATGGCAAGCAATGGAAGAAGAATCAGTAAAGCTAACCAAACTTCCAGTAAATCTGGAGAACAGTAGTGGCTAACTGGAAGAGCTTAGCCTATATATCAATTCAGAAAGAGAGAAAGAGATTTAGCAGATTGTTCAATCTATCACATATTTTCCTTAATTTCACATAGCAACATAATTTTTAGGGTTATCTAACAGATTAGGGCCCTACATGGAAAAAGAAATGGCAGAAGTTCAAAGTGATTTTAGAAAAGCCAGAAGTACACGAGATATTGCTGAAGGATGCCCAGACAACTGAAGAAGCAAAAAAGAAGAAAGAAAAAGAAAGAAAAAAAGAACGAATAAAAAAAGAGAAAAAGATCTACTGATTATACAAAGTTCTTCAGTTGTGTTGACCAAGTCAAACTTCAGAATCTCCTTTGGAAAGTGGAAACTTTGGAATATTTTCTTGTTCTCATTTGACACCTGTACACATGTCAGAGAGTCATAGTTCACTATGGTGAAACAGACTGGCTCCAGTTTGGCAAATGAGTAAGACAAAGCTGTATATTCTCTTTGTTCAGTTTATGTGTTGAATATATATTGAGGGAAACTGGAAATTAAAATTGGAGGAAGAAATGTTGTTAGCCTCTGCCATGGTGATGACACTAGTCTGATAGCTGAAAATGCAAATTATTCACAAGCTGTCATAATAAAAGTCAAGAAGTGCAGTAAAAATAGTATTCAGTCTAAAATATAAACTGAACCAGATTAATGATAACAAGTGCAGCAACCACCTTTAGAACTGACAATTAAGTGCTAAATAGCTTCTGCCTTTTACAATTTACTATCAACAGCAAAGGAACCAGCAGTCAAGAAATATGCTACAAAATAACACTTGGCTATTTTTTTTAGAGTAGCAATGCAGGCCTTGGAAAAAATACTCAAATATTGCGATGTGCTTGTACCTACAAAGATCAGATTCATGTAGGCACTGGTGCTCCTTGTGGGTAATTATTGGAAGGAAGGATAGTTGGACTTTAAAGCAGCAGGACCAAGAATATATCAACCTTTTTGAACTATAGTATTGAAAAAAAGACTCCTAATAATACCATGGACAGCCAAGAAACGGATGGATCATCAAACAAATCTATCCAGAGTTAAAAGTACAAACAATGAAGCTCAAATTACTATATTTGGGTATCAGGTGAAGATCTATCTCCCCTGAGAATTCCATCATGCTGGGAAAAGGAGTAGAAGAAATAGGCAGCAGCTCCAGGCTCAATTACAATGGTGATAGCTGTGTCGTTGGTATATTTAAGAGCCAGTTTGGAAGCATCCTGGATAAATCTTAACCATGTCATTTCTAAATTTATTTTCATTAATCCTGGTAATCAATTAAGTACTATCAAGTCATTTTATCCTGGATAAACCTTATCCATAAACCTTATCCAGGATAAAATGATTTGATAGTACTTGATTATTGATGAAAATAAATTTAGAAATGGCCATGATCTCTTCAACGTATTCTGGTCCAGGAAAGGAAGCAATTGGAGGAATCTCCTGAAACATCAAAGGGTCTCCCCACCATGGTTTCCACCACTATTCTAATAGGAGCCAAGGGTCCAGGAGAAACTCAAGATTGCACACCATTTCCTTCATGGGAAGTGCAACTCCACATGGGACAATAAACATCTACGATACAACAGTAACTTCATATTGCTGCTATTCAGCTGCAGAATACATATGTTGTGGTCCATAGGCAGCCTGCGGAGACGGCAGCAGAGTCGGATAGTGGGGAGGAACATAGGCCAGTCCAGGAGTCTGGGGAGGAATCGGACGAGGATCCTGCGTCTGATATAGAGCTGGGGCCAGGGCTATCTGGGAGTTATGTGCTGACTCTATAGCCTCCAGAATCTGATAGCAGCGAGGCAGAGGAACAAGGGGAGCCTGTTCCCAGTTTGCATATACGCAGAGCTGCCAGAAGGCAAGTAGTTAAGATAAATGGGGTGACTCAGGAGTAAGGCTTGGAGGTAATTGGCCCTCCCACAAGACATAAAGGAGGAGCAAAAGGACATGAATCTTTGCAGAAAGCAACATTGTTCGTACTGGTCGGTTTGAAACCTGAAGCTCAATGTTGAATTTTCGTTCCATTTTGGCCTTCTATAACTAATTGGACATTTAGTTGTTGGCAGCATTTCAAGGAAAATAAAAGTGCATGCTTGTCAGACTTATCTTGAAGTACTTTGGCAGACTTCCATGGGACTATTTACAAACTGTTTGGGACTCGTAGGCTGTGAATGACTAAAATTCACAGCCGTTGAAATAAAGAAAAAGGTTTTGGGACTAACGTGTTTATTAGTGTCTCCATAAGCCTTGGTCAGAATAACATATGCAATGAGGAATAATGCTTCTGTTGATTACTCCATGCCAGGCAGCCGCTAACTGGACATGAATCTTGCTGGAATAGCTTGAGCCCAGCATTTAAATAGCTCTACCATAACTGGGCTACAAAAACCCAGATTACCACTTGATGGCAGCAAAGAATGATTGGATTTTGCAGATCAGATACAGTAGTCAGATACTCAGAAACAGATCAGTGGTCAAATACCATTTTGTAAATAGTTTACATACTTTAGCTACGCTCTACTTTTTGCAGGATAAAATCCAGCAAATGCATTTTAGGCTAATTAATGAAACATTAAAACCCCAATCCTCTGACATTTCACTTGAGGCAGAGATAAAGATATAATTATGAGTCATATATTCAATGACATACTTAATTATATGTTTTCAATTACAGACCTTTATATAATAGGTTATTATTATTATTTGAATGAATGAATGAATAAATGACAAAAGCTTAAATACCCTTAAGACTGATAATGGGATGTATTTCTTCTGTGATGTGATAAATGTTTGTTGGAAACTGAACAAAAAGAACTAAAAAAAGCCAATTTCTTCAAAAGAATATTAGAACACTCAAATGAGCTAGCTTATTTTGCTTATGATGCCAAAACTTTAGTTTCTTTTATTTTATTTATAAAGTTTATTGGCCACCCATGTTACCACAAGTGTCTATACAGATTCTTAGTCATGGTTGTCCCAAAGGTGCTTTTTCAAGAAGCAACTGGACTTTCCGGAAATCAGGAAGTCCAGTTGCCTCTTGAAAAAGCACATTTGGGATCTTAGCACAAGGTATCTCTGGATGGCTTACAATCATGAAAGATTCTGTGTGTGTGTGTGTGTGTGTGTGTGTGTGTGTACACACAAACACACACACACCTGAATTGAGGATGGCAAGAGGGAAATATATACTCTATGTTTGCGCTACAGCCATAATTTATGTCATCTCAAAGGTCAAAAGCAAAATTACATGGACAAATGCAGAACCTTTATATATAATCAGCAACTCAGGCCTTAGGCAAAAATTGAATTTGGGGAATTTCTGGCCTCCAATAGCCTAGCCTTTTATCCAGCAGCTTACATTTTTATCCATTAAATTAAACAAGCTCTCTGAAGGAAATCCATTTTGTAACTAAAACAACAAATCTAGGTAACATTAGTATAGGAGTCAAATAACTGTTCTGAGGAATTCCTGCAATAAAATAGCAAGCTATAATAAAGGTAAAGGTTCCCACATCCCACATACGTGTTAGTCGTTTCTGGCTCTAGGGACCAGTACTCATCTCCATTACAAAGCTGAAGAACCAGCACTGTCCAAAGATGTCTCCATGGTCATGTGTCTGGCATGACTA